GAATAGGTTAGTGAGTATTGTTTGGAGGGCCCAAACGGTAAAATCAAGTATGCTATGCGTTGGCGATAACCAAGGTTAGTCACAACGTCATCGATTGAATCTGCTGACGTTTTCAAGCAAGTGCTAAGACCATGCAATGCGTTTCTATGTGAGCTACAGATGGTTATGACAAGCCGGCTAGTAGATGTGGCTGCTCAAAGAACCACATGATCACAAAATCTATCTGCAATCGTCACAGCACACCGTTTAGGCGAACTTTGCATAGTGTATATCTATGACGTCTAACATCATGCTTATTCGTGTAATGCACGTCGAGATCGTCGGCAACGATAATACCACAGCCAAGAACTCTAGACTTCGATGACTTCCTAGATCGAGCGTGTAATAGGCGGAATCTTAGACTTGGCATGTAGCCGTCCCACTCGCGCCCGACACTATCGCGCGGCACGGCTCGCGTTTGGGTCCAGGGCATTACCACTTCAGCTGTCCCACACAAGTCCTCTTGCAAAGTGGGTATAGAAGACTGATGTAGGAGCCTAACGTAGAACCCTAGAACATTACTAAGGTTGATGTTCCTTATACCTTAGTATGCTATTGCTAAACCTTAGGTACTAACTACTTCGTATCGCTTAGAACATCTACAATAGTTCTCAAGTATGCAGCTATGCCACTGACAGTAAATTTGTTGTAATTCAGAGACCTCTTTGTACAGTTTTTGTAGATTGACTATTAGGAAAGTCTATTCGACGCCATAGTAGTTGTGTCATTTCTGAGCTTTTAGATTAACGCCACTATACTAAATGCTTTAGGGCCACACGAATCTGTCATGGAGGTGTGCAGTCAAGCGACACCGCTTCTACGATCCTCGCCTGCATGCCACTTAGTGTATGCCGCAAATCGTAAAAGTAAACATTAGCGCTAATTATCGGTGAACATACGACGCTAGCGTAAAGCGCGTAACAAGGTGAGCATTCATACCAAAATCAACCTCTGGCTTAGGAAAGGAGCAAGAGCAATATACACTTCGCGATCAATATCATTAAAAGCGCTTCTAAATGTATGACCTCGCATCGATTTAAAGCTATTCTACGTCGTTTTGCTACAGTATCTATTTAACGACTAGCATTTGTAGATCTCATGCATGCTTGAATGAACTCTGATAAGGCCCTTCCACCAATCTTTGTACTGCTCTAGCAACTTAGTATTCTCATGGTGCTCTGGCGAGTCTCTCCATTCCAAATGAGCTTGCATTGAAGGCCATCCGACAATTGCAAACCAAACCAAACATTCATCCGTAGTACCCGGTGCCACAGCCGCTTGATGTGCCCACCCCCCACTCGCTGCTTTGAATTGGTTGCCCCGAAGATTCAGAATGTTTTGGACTTTTTGGTTGAAATTGCTAACCCAGCCGTCTTTGTGCGGGAAGTCCTTGTCGAAGTATATGGTTTCAACCATCGTGTTTCCAGAGATCTTCGGATCAAGGGGCATTGTAGGAAGAGA